CAACAGCTCAATCCATCTAAATATCGCACTTTAACGCCCGCCTCGCCCCGCCTCGCCCCGCCTCGCCCCGCCTTCGCCCCGCCTCGCCCCGCCTCGCCCCGCCTCCCGCCCCGCCTCGCCCGCCGCGCCCCGCCTCGCCCGCTCGCCCCGCCTCCGCCCCGCCTCGCCCGCCTCGCCCCGCCTCGCCCCGCCTCGCCCCGCCTCGCCCCGCCCTCCCCGCCTCGCCCCGGCCCGCCCCGCCTCGCCCCGCCTCCCCCGCCTCGCCCCGCTCGCCCCGCCTCGCCCCGCCTCGCCCCGCCCCGCCCCGCCTCCCCCGCCTCGCCCCGCCTCGCCCCCTCGCCTCCCCGCCTCGCCCCGCCTCGCCCCTGACAGCGTCTCCCCCGACAACGCTCTTCTCTGGGCGCGCCCACTCTCCACCCCCCACCCCGTCTGTCCCTGGCTCCCGCTTGTTTGAAGCGATCCACGCCATCGCCCCTCCGCTCCCGTAACCTCATCGATCCGCCTCCCCCGCAACACGGTTGCGAGGCGGAGGAAAGGAGAGCAGTGAGATGGATTCGCCAGCTCTGCGGTTCTAAATGGAACGAAGCCCCCCCCCCCCCGCCCCCCCGCCTCGTCACGTCATTCTTAACACTGAATTCCTTCCAATCTGCTTCGCCATCCAATCTATTACTTCCGTTTTCGAGGAGCGCAGACTTCCAATTAAACTCTGGAATTTGGCACCTTATCTTGTGTACCTTCCAATCTGTACATTCTAAAACGTCTGTAAACATACCGCAAAATAAAAAAAATGTTATTTTAAATTTAAAGGAACGTGAGAAAGTCACTAAATCAATATTTATTATCATTCGCTCTAGCTCGGAATATTAAATAATACCTACATTTCAGATGTGTATTACTATTACATGAAACTATATTTTCAGGCAAAATAAAGCAAATTAATAATTGTTCTTCCACATTTACTTTGAAACTTCCCTCTCGTCAATTTTAAAGAAGACATATTCAAATGAAATTGCTCGCTAGAATAGCATATTGTAATACAAGGCCTTGATATCAATGTTTTAGGCTGTTCATGTCTTGGTAAATTATTGTTAATAGTATACTCACTTTATTTATCATTAACAACATTGAAAAAATATAATGAAATAAGAAATAAATTATATAGTGTCTGAAAAATCTTCACGTGTGCGAAATATTTTTTATTAATATATTTCACACAGTTTCTTCTACTTAATCATATTTTTCATACATGAATAATGCAAATGTTTACCGCATGTCTGCATTCCAGTAAACAGGAATATAGAATAACATGCGAATGAAAATGGAACTCTGTTTTTCAAATTAAAATACTCAAATATTCTGTGCAATACATTCAAATTACAGAATTTACCGGATATGATGTGAATTTAAAATAGATCAATTTGATCTTTGTGTACCTCAATCTATCTTCAACTTACAAAAATATTGCAAGACCTTTACATGCTGACTAGAATCTCGAGAAATAAAATGGAATTTATTAGTGCCATATTGCCTATTGCGGAGGGAATACGAAATGAGCAGCAGGAACACGAGACGACTGCCAACTAGGTCAATATGCATGACAGAGCGGTTAAGATTTTTCAGTGATACATCATCTGAGATTCATAACCCAAGTGCGATATAATTCTCTACGATTAATAATGAAATTATAAGTTACCTCGAGTTTTATAAGAGTTATTACAAGAATCGTTCAACATTGTTCCTGTTAACGGCTGCTAAAGTCTACTATAAAAACTAGAAATAAACTTGACTGTAGTTCTCCCTCTACGGTACATGCAGTTTTTAATCTATTTGTCGTTAAATGAAAAGAGTAAAAATGAATTGATGAATATATGAGTTATAACTGGTGGCGCAACAACAGCAAACCGTTTCTTGCATAATTTGTAACCTTCGTAAATGTCGAGAAATCAGAGAGTTTAACGAAAAATAGATCTGCGTCCACTTTTCAGCGCCAGTTACTCATTTGCGGCAAAAAAAAATGTATAGGAAAAATTGGAACCATTTTGGCAATAAAATTATACATCACCTTTATTTCAAGCAAAAATTACGCAAATCACTAGCTTTTTTTCAGGCAGACGAAGGCAGAGAGCAGTCGTTAGGACGAAAAGACGGACGGAAGAAGGGACGGACAGAGACATTTTGCCGCAAACCAATTAAGCCTAAAACGTGAATTCTAACTACATAAGTTTTTAGAGAAAGAAATTTACTGAATTTAGGAACAAGATTCGTACACCTTTTTTATATCACAGTCTCATAATATTAAATTTTCTGACAAAAAAATGCCACTTTCCACTGCAGCAAAATGGTCACTTTCTCTTTACCACGCAAGTACTTTTTTTTCGATAAAGTAATTATAACGGTCTCTTCAGACGCTCTCGACAGAATAGGGGGTATTATATAAACTTTATTTTATTTATGTATTGACACTTTAAAAAGTATTTGCGAGGAATTATTCAAAACGTCAAAATGTCATTTTAAATGTGTTCTTATTAAAATACGAATGGGTGGGAAAATTTAAACGTCGTGACTTTCCACTATAAGATTTTTGAAGGCAAAGTTTAGATCTTCCGACAGAATGTTGACGGTTTTGTTTTTTAACTTATTTCAAAGTAATACTGAAGATATTGAATCGATTTTAACTAGCGATCAATGACAATAAAATAATAAATGAGTCAGATTTATCATTAGTAAACGCATGCTTATTTACATCAAAACAAAATTATCTTAATGAATTAGATACCAGGAAACTGTTAGTGCTTTGTTTTAGCCTAAAAAATTACGCGATGGATCCGAATATTTTTTTACTTAAATCTATCAGAATTTGAATATCAATTTTATCACGTTTTAACCATGCAGTATTTTATTACGTGCATGTCTATCTAATGACTTCTAGTTAACTCTTGAAGTTTCTAACTTCCACTGGATTGAAAACCTGAGTTTGAGGGGCAATGTTTAAGTTGCAGGTAAAATTGTGGCGTCTTTGCCGGGGCAATAAATTACAGACGTGAACGGTTTGTAAATATTAAGTATTTATTTGAATAAAAATGCTCCAACACCTGAATACTATGTACAATATTTACAAATAGCAATATTGAACCGTACTAGAAGGAATGTTCCCTGGTTACCACCACCGCTGGCCCGATAATTAAATATCATATTCGGTGTGATGCACCAGTAGCATACGTGAGCATACAAGCGAGTATAAAGCACCTCCCGTCTCGACGTAGCACGCCGGCTTCAGTTCCCTGCCTCGGTAGCCTATGCATTAAAATACAGCGCCGCGCACAACCCACACGACCTCCTACCGACGCGCTCAAGAATCAGAAGAAAGAGTTTAGGTCCGTTTATATGCCTTCTGGGTCGGTTGACGGAACTGCGTCATCTCGCTGTTTCCGCCGACGCGTTTCCGCCGCCGGCCTGCCTAGGGGTTCGCAAGTTTGCCACCCACGACAAGGCACCCCTTCCCTTCCGCTCCCAGGTTTGCCTTTGTTCAGCCCAGCGTCTCTTCCGCCAGCGCTGTCCGTGATCATGAAATGCACGTGGCTGATATTTGGTGCGTTTGTACAAGGCGACGGATATGACGCCACAAAATGAAACACGAAATTCTCTGTGTACAAAAGAACTTTGACGTATCAGTATTAGTGAGTAACGCTTCACGTTTTTATTAAAAATAGACTTTTTTTTAGAAGAAATAACGTACAAGTTCTAGAAATAAATAAATATGCAGAGTATATAAAATATAGCAAAATTACAGACTCTCCCTTATAAAGTTACAGACACACTGAATCAATACACTGGAAAAAACTCACATATCCCCCTAAAAGTGCTTGAAAGTTCTCATACAAGTCGTCATCCGGGTACTAAATTGGAAGTGCGTGAGTGTAAGAGAAGAAAAGGGAACAAAGATGAGGGAGGAAACATCGGGTGCAGTCCGTGACCCATTTGTTGGGATACTACTCCAGCATTCCTTTTGAGTTTGTAGGAAAAACCACAGAAGACTTTCGATCAGAGCAGCCGGCCGCTAGGATTCTCCTTTAGACAGTGGCTGGATTTGGGCTAGGTAATGTAGCTAATTTCGAAAATCCGCCGTCGGAACTCGAACCCTAGGACCTTTCGGTCTACTTCAGAGGGTACGGTGCTGTGAAAGTGTAATATTAAAATATTTTTACATATCGTTGAACTAGTATTTTTTTTTAAATATTGGGGTGCACTATTCAGCCTGCCATTGAACCTGCACCTTCCTTCGCCTATCTCGTCTGCGTGGTGTACAGTAACCTGACAAAGAGACGTGCCTTCCTCCGGAGAGCTGACGAACCCTTGTAACGGAGCGGGAGTTGGAGGCGGAAGAGCAAGAAACTGTTCATCGCACACGACAAGCGAACTGCAGCGTTCCTCGCCTTCCTCTTCAAAGGGCGACGGCCGCGGCGACGGCGGAGGGTAAGGCGATGGGCGGGTAAGGGGAAGGGCAAGTCAGCAGCCGGGAGTCTCCGTGCCGAAAGGGCACGGCGCAGGCGCAACACGTGCGGTTGGAGGCGGCATCTTTTTGCCAAGCAGGAGGCAGCTCCAATCACAGCAACTCTTGATGTAACGGAACTTTGGCTATTCCGGAAATATTGTCTGTCAGTTACCGCCATGTTTTAAACAAAATTAATGGATTTGGAAATTATTTTTTAGTTCGATACGGTAGACATGAATAGAAGTTTATCGTTAACTTGAGAAAAAATATTATTTTTTAATCAACCCAATACATTACAGTAGAACACTCATGTGGTGCTTTCGTTAGTTTCATTGTAGACTGTGTACATTAATGTATAATTAAAATTATCGGTTTCATAAACATAAGTAAAGCGTTTTCGGAGTAATGTAGTTAAAATATTTAGTTCATATCACTCGCTTCTAAATAATTTAATCAATTGGCATTGAATTCTCTGACACTTTAATTTGTTATAGCCCGCTATATTATTTTAAGTAACTTTTTTCAACCTACAACACTACCTCTAAAAGTAACACAAACAAATTCGTGTTGTTGGTTTCCGATACTAAAAAAATTATAATTGTTGCTCTGATATGTATTAAATAACTCCTCTAACAGCGCTCTGTAATTGCATTCCACAATTTGTGGCTCCTTGATGCCGGAAATTTTGGTTTACGGCCTCTGTTTACGGCGAAACGTCCGTCAGTCTGTGTGCGAACAACGCTAGAGGATAAACCCTATTACACGATTTTCACCCAAACTGATATTTTCTCATAGATCTGACAATCGCTAAAAACTACTTACGTATTATAGAGAAACTGTTGCAATGCTACAGGGGTTATTTTTGACAGAAAATCTTATGGGTACGAATAAACCTGATACCGAAAAAGGGTAGAATTATTGCTCCTATATTGGTAAATAAGGTTCTCTAATACTTTTTGTACTCCGTATCCACGATACCTAAAAATTGGTTTACGGAAAAACGTCTGTCGGTCCGCCGGACCGTCTGTTAATTAAACTAGCGGCTAAAATGTAGGCATGTATATCATCAAAATTGATATTCGATCGGACTGTTGTCGCGGCCCCTTGAATTTGGGGTATGAAGTCCAGAATACATTTTCAAAATGTTCCTAAAAATGGCCCCAAACATTTTCTGTATTTCTTCCTGGAAGAGAGGAAAGTATGCATATAAAAATGGTGCAATTACGATTGTCTTTGAGTTGTATGAATTTTCGAAAATTATTAAGATAAGAAAATGGGTGTCTTCCTATAACTGTGTACTCCAAAATCCGATATTTTAATCAGATCATGTACAGTTTTGCAAAATATAAGAATAGTTTTTAGTAGTAATTTCGCTTGAAATAAAGGCAACTTTCTAAACAAGATTTTTTAGAAAACGGGTTCAAATTTTTTCTTTAATTTTTTCTTGGATAATATATTGCTAAGCTTATGCATGCATGCATGCATGCATGCATGCATGCATGCATGCATGTATGCATGTATGCATGCACGTATGTGCGGGTATGTGCGTGTACGTACTATTTGTATTACGTCATCGCTTATAAGGCGATTTTTCTAAACTCTCTGAATTTTTGAAAATGATAAAATTTACAATGAATGCTAGAACTTATGTGCTTTTGTAGCACCACTGTTTTTTTTAATCCCTATTCAATTATTGTAACTTTCCTCGATTCTCTATTATGCCATTTTTCTGTTTTTAATAAATCAAAATAATTGATGATACAAAACATGATAATTAATTATTACGTAAACATTTAAATACATGTCTACGTTTAGCTGCATGAATTGACAGCTGGGACAGCGAAGTACAGCGCGGTTACTGCGCTTTACAGTCTTTGCTACGTGGGCGTTGCATGATCTTTTTCGGACAATGTATAATAGCAAATTCTAGATAACAGTCCTATACGTTTGGTAGTTTTCAGTCCAGTATCTGTCTGACTTACTAAGGTGAAAAATTGAATTTTGGCGTCGTAAATGCGCTCAGTTAGTGTGACGCTGTATCCCTTCATTTTGGTGGCAACAAGAACAGATTATATCTGAAAAAATTGATGGAATCAAGTGTCGCTAGGAAACCATTGCCAGGGTCATCAGTAACTCTCAAATATCCAATATAAAGAAGTTTCGTATAAAACGTGCTGTATTTTTTGCGAAGCGAATATACTAGTACTCAAATGAATACGTCGGCTGCATCATGTGATAAGTTGATTAAGTATTCGGACTCATAAAATTCAAATTTCAGCCTGCAAGATTGTTTTATTAAGTAGCTCTTGATTTACTCTGCAAGCAAGGAACTATTTCTGACGTTCATTTTCGATGCAGAGAAAGTAAAACGCATTTTTATTGCTGAAAGTTACTTACAGCCTGAATGCATTTTACAGTGGGACATATATGAAAAGAATGATAAGTTTTTCACAAATCTTATCAATTCACCCCACTGCAAGAAACAGCCAACATTGGCGACCCTCGACAATGGTATTTAAATGGGACGAAACGAAAGGATCAAGCAAGTATCAGCAAAAAATAAAGACGAATATGTTTGAAGTTTCGATAAACTTTACTATTATTATTATTATTATTATTATTATTATTATTATTATTATTATTATTATTATTATTATTAATATTATTATTCAGACATCTGAGAACAAGTTTTAATTTAAAAATTTAGAAGGCAAGGTTTTATTTACCAGATACGCAATGTTAACCAGAACTCTGTCGGAAACAATTTTCATTTTATTTCGAGGCGAAATTATCAAGAATTGGAGAACTAAAAAACATGAAAAAACTAAGTCACGCGTACATCAAATGAGTTTTGAATGGACATTGAATATGTTTAAAAAAGGAAAGATAAGCTCGAGGCTATCACTATAGTGTGAAAAAAGTGCTTAATTGCACCCAGCTGTCATAATGACTGTCAATTTTGTACTCGGATCGAACAATTGGCATATCTGTTCTAACTTTTAGGTATTAACGAATATCTCCGGAGCGTCACAGCTTGCGGTCACGGCTCCAATTTCTCACAAACTTAAAATATAATTTGTCTCTATATTTATCAACATTACATTTCTATATAAGAATCGCTAAGTATAAATTATGAAAACAATTTATTAAGTTAAAAAAAGGGAAAATGATAAGATGAGGTCTCAGTTCTGCTTCTGACGTCGTATTCTACAAAATTAGATTTTTTTGAACCTTCTATTACATTTTTTGAAATTTAGCTCTTCTAGGTACTTTCACTCCCATATGGGTGGCCAGAAACGAGCAGAATTTGGAAATACTTATAAAATTAGCCATTTAAAAATAGTTACATTTATTATTATTCAGAAAGAAAACTAATCGTGAAGCTGATGAAGCGATATTGACGATCAATTAACATGATGGGTTTTGAAAAGACACCAGATAACAATAGAATTTCCCTAGGTTTCATAACGGTGGGCTTTATTGTCTCGAAACAAATCTGTATGTAAATGTGTATGTAATCTATTACCATAAAAATGTGCAGAAAATGTAATTTACTCCGTGAAAAATGTTTCTATGAATATCACAATTCAAAATGTCTTTTCTGGAAGAGAAGGGGGGTTCTATAATTACAAAATCCTTGAAGAATTAACTACAAAATTGTACATGATCACATTGCATCAGCCACAATTTAACGTTACGAGTATATATATATATATATATATATATATATATATATATATATATATATATATAATGAAATATGTGCTAAGAAATAAAAGGTGTAGTCATTGTATCATATCCTTGTGCCTAGTGTTGCGTTTGGTCTGTACACTACTCACTTTATCAAAATTCAGCATTCATACACTATTAAATGTGCCAATTACAGCAACAATCAAGAAATATCAAAATTATTCGGTTTGGACACAAAACAGTTCTGAGCGCATATGAATTAAGGTGGAAAAGTTTGTTTTATAGTTCATACTATTAAGAAATCGGCAGACGCATGTGTGTATTCTGTAAGACACGTCATATTCCATCGTTCACAACTGAAAATTAGTTTTCTAAGCTCTTAAAACTCAATTTTCAGAATCCCGTAGATGTCAGACCTATGTTTATTAGGCCGAAAACTAGTAAATAAAACATTTTTGAATTTTCTTTTACATTTTCGAAGGTTTAATTCCTCCGGGCACTCCCAGTACAAAGTCTAAGTGATGTAGAATCTCGAAATGTAGGCAAAAATTAGTTGAAATTTAATCTTCACGGGAAGGAAGGGAGGGAAGGGATTCAACCATTAATTCGTTTCAACAAACCTTCGTTAAATACAACTATCTCGTATATTGTGCACTATCTTGGCTGGCCGTGTCGAAGGCTGTGTTGCCGATATTTCGACCATCTTTTCGTGGTCTTCTTCAGGGCTTGTATGCGCCACGACAAGATAGTCGAAACGTCGGCAACAGCCTTCGACGCGGCGTCACACGGACAGCCAAGATCATGAACATGACTCTGGCCGCAGAAGCCTACGACTTTATCTCGTATATTATTACCTTTGTTACTCGGACTGTTAACTTTGTTACTCGGACTGTTAACTTTGTTACTCGGACTGTTAACTTTGTTACTCTGACTTAACTTTTTTACTCGGACTGTTAACTTTTTTACTCGGACTGTTAACTTTTTTACTCGGACTGTTAACTTTTTTACTCGGACTTAACTTTTTTACTCGTTCCAAACTAACTTTTTTACTCGTTACAGTTCCAAACAATCTTTAAGAAAATATACGGGAAAACAAAATGGATATAGTTAAAAAATACGGTTATCAATTACGACATTAGTTCGAATTGTGTGATATTTGTTTAATAGCCTGGAAAAGATCTGTCGAAGGGTCACTATAGAATTCCGCAACCTCATGAAAGGCCTTCTCGAAGAAAACTGTCCAGTAGCACTTCAAGCTTGAGGGTCTTCCGGAAAGAACAACATTAAAATCGAACGGATTATCGGAGATCATAATGGCATTTGTAAGCAGGAGATTAGTTTGACATCTTGAGAAAGTGCTCGAGTGTTTCCAAAAACAAATGGAGTTGATATGGATGTATGGACATATTCTTAAACGATGAAACATATGATGTGAAAGATATTGACTCTCAAAACGTTTAGGATAATTTATGTTTTTTTTTTAATCTTAAAAACAATATCTGTTCACCTGACCGAGAATTGGATAACCATTTTAATTGCATACCGGATCCTGAGAAATATTACGTCAGAAAACGTCAGAAAACGTCAGAAAACTTAACTACAATTAATTATCCATATTTATACAGTATTTAAAATAACTAACATTACTGCTTCAAATAAAATTCAGAATGATAAGTTATTTAATACGTTTAAAATATTTTCTAAACCTTAGCACGTTGTGAAATTGTTTTGCAGACCTGCAATACACTTAATGCCAGAGTAAATGTCTAATATAAATCCTTGTCAAAACTCGTGATTTTTGACCGGTTCCTACTGCATTATACAATGTGCCTCAACAGTGTAGTAAATGCAAAGAGTTTAGAATACAGTAATAGTTGTCCTTTGTACAGCAAAACACGAATAGTAATGATATTATCATATTCAGGATGGCTCACGTAAGTGTTACCTTCAAGAACCATATAAATCGTTGCAGAAATTGTGTTTACATTAAACTGAACGTAGGCGAGGAGCACAGACAAAATTAAATAATTAAGCTATGGTTTGTTTTATTTAAGGAATATAGTCGCAACTATTATTTTCTTTTAAAGAAACAATATTTCTCTTTCGCCCATGATAACGAGCAAGACGAGACAAGTTCATGCATATGCATATGGACCTATGTTACATAACAGTATTTTCGAGAAATATAAAAGACTTTTGGACGCGCGCCGATTTCAAGATTTCGTTACTACATCAAGGTAACGCACTGCGAGGCCCGGCGCGCTGGAAAAGTAGCAATGCCAAGGTACGCGTTGGGAGGCCACGAAAATGCCCAACAAGCGCCTTGGGACTACTCTTTGCAGCCTTTGATTTATTTAGTCAAAAACAGTATGTGACGTATGGGGTTGAAGATCATCTGCGCGCGCATTGCAGAAATATATTCACCCATAGACATGATCAGAACCTATCAATACGCTGCGAGGTACAATTTTGATTGAATTGAATGAGTTTCTAGCCCTGGAGGGGAAGTGTGGGTAGCGGAAAATTCTCTGAAATGATTGACGTATGTGCAGTAATAAACGATACATTTACTTTTTTAAAGGCTCAAAATTAACTACAAGTAAAACAAGCGCTTAAAAATATTTAAAAAATATTCAAAAAGCACGGAAATAAAAGGCAACTTAATAATTTTAAAACTAGCTTTATTTAACGCATATCGTCAATAGTTGTTCCATCAATTATAATACACTGTTCAAGTCGTTTTGAACGTGAATCAGGAAAGGAATGCAAAGGAGAAGTTTGAAGAAAATATGTTCAGTTTTGACTGTGAATGCAGTTGCCCAATGACTTTTAATCTATCTACCTCCAACTATTGCCCGTTTTACGTGTCGTGACCTTCATCAAAAGATTTGCGATATCTTCCATTCGCAGGGCGGATAGAAAAGAACAAGAGAGTGACCTGGTAGCGCATTTCCTGTGATAGTGAGGGAATAATGAAGAGCCTTTAAGTGCGTCGTAAAAACTCCACATTTCTCAAAAATGTTGCTATGTAACTTACGGCGATATGGATACGTATAACCTCGTTTGTTCACGGTCGTTGTCATGAACTGAAACAGAAGTTGTGGCGATATATCTAAAATAAAAAAGCTATACGATAAAATTATACACCATCTTATGTGCTCTCGCATACATTCGTTTTACTGAAATCTACAACTCAATATCTGCAACGATTCCGAAGATATTTGAAGGGAACATTAAATGAGTCACCTGTATAATACGCTTAATGACAGAAGTTGTCATGAACACAAGTTATTTAATATCTTTTGGTACCTTACAATTTTTAGATAAAAATTCCATTCCATTCTGGAGGGGATGTTGGAACTGGTTTTATTTTGGGAAGAATCCTGTACCCGAAAGGTAGGGAAGCTATGTCTCTGGAGAGAACCTGAGCCTCTTAGTAGAATGCAGATTCGCATACATTCCCAGACTGTCAACGCAAGGGCAATTGCAAAATCAATGGAAGGGCGTTTTCCATCTGTCACCTCGTCAGCCAGGGTGTGTGGTGCGGTTCCGCTGCCATTGACGCGTGAAGGGCGAGGGGAGCGGGGTTGGGGGTGGTGTGGCTCGAGCCACGGGGGTCCGGTGTTCGGCCCCCGGGCGGGGTCTCACCTTTCTTGCCTCCGCCGGGCATGACGTACGATGGCCTCGCCGTCGGCGCGGAGGTGCTCAGCCAGCAGTAAATGGCGGCGGCTGGCGAGGGCGGCAGCGGCGGGGGCGGCGGCGTCAGCGGCGGCTGAGCGGCCGGTCAGGAGGAAGGTTTGGGGGGGGCGGCGGCGTCGGGCACGCGACAGCAAAGGCTCTGAGCCTGCGATCCGCCCCGCACCGAACGTCGACGCGAGCGCGCCTAGCGGCGGGGAGCGCAACGGCATGCGCCCGGGCCGACCCTTCTGCCCCGCCCCTGCCCGTCCCCGATCACGCCTCGGTATCCTCCCACGCGCCAGCCCTCGCTCTCTCCCACAGGCGCCCCCGCACGCTGTCCTTTTCTACCTTCTCGCTTCTTCGTCTTTGCGTCTGCTAATTTCCGCATTTGCTCAGTTCATGTTATACGCACGACCCAGTTCCGTCCACAATTTTGTGAGCGAGACCAGTGAAGCTAGTACGTGGCATTATTTTTGTAGGGTTTATATCATTTAAGTGGTCACCTACTTAACTGTAGTTTTCAAGAATATAATTTGACGTTTTAGCGTCGTTATGTGTCATTGCTTGCTCCTACAACCGAACCATTGCCACAACCGATTCATAGTTACCTCAACAAGCTTCTATAGACCTATTCTAAAGCCTCCTCATTTTTTGCATCGGTTTTATTCGTAATGTCGTATCCTGAACTGATTTACTACGTCAATACCAATACTTTCAGCTTGCATACCGTTGGATCTGAGGAGTTAACTATCCATATGAAGAGCAAAGGCTTAAAAACAAAATTGTAGTAAATCGTTCATCGTGAACATTTAAATACATATCTCTTTTCTCTACTAACAATATGATAACGAATGAGAAACCTCGTTGCAACAATTATTGCCATTGCGGCGACTCTGACTGGGAGGTTCTGGGGTCGTATATCCGACGATGGCGGATTTTGGACACTAGCTAAATAACTAGGTCGAAATCAGCTTCTGTAAGTAGGAGAATTCTAGCGGCAGTTTGTTCTAAACGGTAGTTTTATGTGGTTTATCCTATTAATATCAGAGGAATGCCGGAGCAGTACTATAGCAGACGGGCCAAGAACAATATTTCCGTCCTCATCCTTATCTACATCCTCTCCCTTTATACATACATGCTTACATTCACTCCTTCGCCACACATTTCGGCAGACCACACAGGAGCTTAGAACCTATCCAGACTGGGACGGTGTCCCACGGGTGGAGATATCTGAAGGTATGAAACCCCTGTCAGGATGCCTAGGTTCCGGCGATACTCGTATCGATAGCTTCAAGGTGGAGGCCGAGAGGAGACGGTTTGGGGACCCCGAGCCCCCCGGGCCTTAGCCCGTGTGGCCCCCAATTCGGCACTGGGCTTCGACGTAGCAATGGCCCGGAATTCTGACCACAGAGGAGGGACTTGTCCCTGCGCATTATGAGTAGCGCATTGATTCGACTCCGGATCTGGCCTGGAAAGCCTGTAGCTCTTAGCTGGCAGGACGGCCCGACCCAGGCATTGTATGGAGCTGGGTGTTATTATGACCATTACTTTTAAATCTGATATTTTTTTATTTGCTAAAACATTCTTGGCCTTCTCGTATTTATCTTGTGTAAAAATATTTTTTTTCCACTTCCTTAGATGCCAGTACTACGCTGTCATCAGTTCCCGCACCGTCGACATGCGGGAAATGCCATTTCTTCAATTAACTCGGGCGTTGATATTTACCTTCGCTTATGCACTTATTATGTAAACTAATCATATAACTCGAACTGTTTTTATCTCTAAAGAAATAGGTGACTTGCGGTTCGACGATCAAAGCACACTCTCGCGCGATGTTCTACCACGCCGTCTCGAATCATTTTATCTTTTTTCCACTGCTAGTTAACATGAAAGCTAAAATAGCTGCCCTCAACTTCCGCCTGTCAACTTCTACAGAGTGTATTTTTTTGTTATTTTTAGTAAATAATATCAGGTCACTTATTCTCACGGTTAACCAAAACATTTTAATGCTGTTTTATCTAAAATCTGTTTGATTTATTCTCTTCCTTTCATAATTGAATATTATATCATGAACATTCTGAGATTGTCCTTTCAACTGTATTTCAGATTATCTTATTCCTTTTGATTTAATGCCCGAAATTCAACATGACATCAATGTTTATAAAATTTGCATTCTCTGCATTTCTACATCAAAATAATTGTTTTTGACGAATCCATATGGATTGATTTTAGTAATTCCGGGCCCGTCAGGGTCATTAGTCCCGTATGTGTAGTCCATGAGTTTTTGCTCATGAGGTGGCGGTATTCTCTATCCCGCTGTATGACGAAATCTGGTCTTTTTCTCTGTCCATGAAAAAAATCTAATTAAAAAATTGGATCCATTTTTTGAGATTTCTTAAAAACATGATAAGGCTTCTTGAAAAGTACCTTCAAAATTAATTTCAATCTGGAGGGCCTCGAGTTCGGCAATGGGGAAATCAATAGGGAAATATCAATTTTGGAGAAAATCGTGTGAAGTGTTTTGGTTAAAGCGTTGGACATATGCGTAAAACACCCACAGATTTAGAATATAATTCCTCATTCAGTAGCACAACGAAATGAGTGCGAGCCCGCCCGCAATTCTTTTATCGGACCCCCTTTATAACACTGTATAACAAACACAAGTAGTGTTTGTAAATAATAAAAACATCCTTTAACAAATTCCTTATCGTCAGTTTATGATTACTGTAATAAATCAATGTTACTAACATATTATATTGATTTAGAAACAGGGTTACATAAGCTGCCGAAATGGGGAAATAATCCTTGTTCTGAATGTTACAATTTGTAATATTTTTAGTATCCACTATCGCAAACTATTAGAGAAAGTATCCAGTGATCAATATTTCTTACCTTTAGCCTAAAAATAGAGCCCTCTTTTATCTGAACCCACCCGCTTTGCGGGCTTTGCAGACCCGAACGTTACGCTACTGCCCTCATTAACAGGGCTCGGATTCTGATGACCAAAAAAGGTCTTTGAAATTGACATATAAAATGACTTCAAAATGAGAACAAATGGCTTTAAAATGAGGGGGAAATTATTTATTTTTTTAAATACTCAAAAATTCGTTTTAATATGTTTATTTATTTAGTGAATTCTACAATTTTAAATAAATGTTATTTACTTAAAATTATATTTGATATAAAGTCTTTATTTTAGGAGGAACTGTAATCCTCAGCTCCATCGTTCCAATTCTCAGTTTAGAAAGGTCAAGGAAGTTACCGAAGATCCATGTAATTTTGAGAGTTGAAAAACAAAGTCCACTTCAGTAGTGTTTATAATGAACGATGATACAATAAAACATTTTTAGTGTCTCATTGCAAATTCATTAATCATCCACTAACAAAAAACATGTAACGGAAACAATATGCGTAAAATGACAAAAAGACACAAACGTTCGCAAAAAGTACCTAAAAATTTTAAAAAATGGCAAATAATAACAAAAACAATCCAATACCTATGTACTTCTATCTCGTATATACTGTGATAAGCATTCATTTACAAATTAGCTTCGTCTAGAATGCACCTATGAAAAGATGAATCAGAATCTGAGCCCTGCTCATCGTCCTCTTTAAAAAGTATTGCCATGAGATCATGCAGAGCGATATATTATTGTTTATTTATTAATCTCAAATACATTTGGCATGTAAGCGGCAGCCAGGCTCTGGCATAATTAAAAAAATCGAACTTCACAATTAGAGGATAGTACTATCAAATTGTGTACTGATGTGCTTGGTGCATCTGATTCCAGTGTGACAAAGAAATTCCAACCTCATTTTCTTCTCATTTTCAACTGTGAAGTTAGCGGTATCTCAACGTCGAAAAATACGCGAGATTGTAAAGCAAGTTTCCGTCAGTAAAAACGGTGATTTTTAACATTTTAGTTTACATTTGGATGTATTGCCGAACGAATAATACATCTGGAAGTAAGTTAAATATCAGAAAAGTTTACTTTTCTTTATATTTTGTAAGGAGTGTGTACCGTAACATTTTTCACTTATTTCTTTCTTTCATTTACATATTGAGGTCTATAACTATTGTTCCGCTGTGAAATTAAGCTTGTACAAAATCCCCAACTGTTCTCTATCAGCATGCAAAATATTGCAGCTGCACTTATTTGCCCCTTTTGGTTTTTCATCATTTAATCAGTGAAGTGAGTAACCGGCCTGTTTCGATACGGCCGGCGCCGCCCGGCAGCGGCTACTTGTCGCATGGTGTTTAGCTTTGATAGCTTCACCTGGTGTTCAAAATTACACAACAGACAGTCATATACAGAGTGATAATTAATGACATGTATTCATATATAACTAATTATATATAGTTAAATATTTTATTACGTAATAAATACAATTAAATTTTAATTATTTTGGTTTTTAAATTTTCACATCGAATTCGCAATCAGCAACTCTGAAAATACTTAAATATACAGCTCCACACGCATCCACTTAGTTTTCAACTATTAGATCCGCCATTTTCTTTTTCTAAAATTTTAACATCAAATTCATTATCAGCAACTCTTAAAATAGTACTTAACAGTTTCACAGGAATCTGATTTATTTTTTTAATATTTGATCCGCCATTTTGGATTTTTAAATAAAATTCGTAATCAGCAACTACAAAAACCATAATATATACATTTTCGTAGGATTTCAAACATAACTTCTCATTGTGGGCAGGTTTGGGTCAGATGGAACGTGTGCGTAGACCCTTGTCTCCTCCTCCCACCCTGTCAGCTAGGATTCCCTAGGCGTGGTGTTACAATACGTCTCTGCAATTCGAATAGAGGACTACACAGATTGGCAACTGGAATTTACATGAAAATAAACGATGATAAAATAACTAACCTAATATTTACAAGTGACGTAATATAATGGTGCTAAGCAATACTATCCGAAAGGCATATTCACATTTACAATTGTTATTTGAGTTAGCAACACAGGTCTTCCGGCACATTTACATTTAATTAAGTTTTTTATTTTACTATTTAGCAAGTGAAATTATGGCATATAATTTACCGTTTAAAGATTACAGATACAATTTATTATATTGAATGTAAACGGGCTCGACTGTGCCCTTTCCTCTCAGCCCCCTCCTCCATTGACTTTTGCCGATAGAAGTAAGTACAATTTGGGAAAAGCCTAGCCACAGAGTAATGATACCTCCTTAGTCTATGGTCTAACTTCGGGCTGTACAGGGACAACGCGGGAACGCCCCGCCGCCTGCTGTCTGCCGCGGTTGTCGTCACACATCATCTACCTATAACCTACCTTATAGCTCGCTGACCCCCGTGTTCCAAGAAGACATCCCTGCGGGCGCCACCCGACGCTTGGAGGAACCCCTCCTCTTCGCCGGCCGTTCGCCTTGGGCGGTCCGATGGCAAATCGCTACGATACAACACCTTATAAGAAAAGGGTTCGACGGCTCCCTCTTGGACGCAATTTTGAACGACAATGAAATGCTATCCCCAGCCTCGTCAGTTTCAGGGTAATTGCCAAATGCATGCTCAGAAATATTTTTGCCAAGAGAAGAGCACTTCAATCCAGATTTTTTGCCCTAGCATGCCATTTGATTATAAGAAGTGAGAATTCTTACGGTGCATTTCATATTATTTAATTAGGCACGAGTGTGCTAGACGACCAGTACAAATCTTAAGGAATAGTTTGTCTTCCCAAACTTGATGGTAGGTGCGACATCCGTGATAGCGGGCTGCGTCACATGTGGATTTACAGTAAGACAAAACTTACATAGGTTTTATCACCGTCATTGAAAGTACTTTGTAGCGGAGATCGTCCAGTGCTCCCGTTCATCATCTCTTTAGCGTACGAATCGACAAAAATATTTCATCTGCTTTAGCAATATGTTCTGTTGTAGTTTCTGTCCAATTACACAGAACATTTCAGATAAATCACTGTTTCCACATTAGAATATTTCCATTTATTGTCTACGCTGTGTGAATGTATTACATCAGAGTAAAAGCATGAAGGAAAAAGCATGTTTTCTTGTCATATTTGAATGATTTATTCTAGAAATATATGTGATAAGAAGCTAATTCTCTTAGAAAAATCAGTAGTATCATTACTTCATCTCTATCAGACTAGCAGTATGTTGCAGTGGTAGTTACTATCATAACATTTCTGACAAACACTGATACACAAAGGGGGCCCAAAAACCCTCTCATACCTTCTTGTTTTAGGCTCTGCACAACAATAGGTTTAATGGTATCCAGAATTATGACATTACCAAACTTTGCTGTATTTGCACAAAGAATTGGAGCCTTTTGAGAGAAATCTAAACACTTTTTGTTACTTAATGCTGCAAAGAAAAGGCCCAGTTTTTCGATAGAAAAGTTTCATTGATCCTTGATATCAAAACAGTGGATTTTTCTGGCTCCTTAATGTAGTAAATTACTTTCTCCAATATGTTGTGTAGTCAGAATATATTTTGTGGGTCCTTGTTACAGAAACATTCTTTTCTACTTTCTAATTACAAAATAACTAAAAGTTATTTCTATCCCATGACTAGCACCTAAACCGTCCACAGAAAGGTAATCAAATTTGATAGTCTTTAATTTATTTGAAATCACAGTCACTAGAATATGAACATTTTCAAAATGTTCTCAAAAATGGTTCAACTTTCTTAATTTTTGGCAAGGCTCTACCAGAAATCCTGGCAGTGTATCTATTTTCAAATTTACAATTTCTTGCAGGTAACTGCACAAAACAGAATGCCTTAATAAACCAATAAATTCATCAATCAAGTCAGTTGTCTTAATACTGACCTACACTTTCATTGGGACTAGAAGTACCAACTGTGATAAATAGTAGCCTATCGCAAGGAACTCATGCTTGGAAAAGTAATAATTAGAAAACAACTTATAACCACTGAAGCAGGATTATTCTGAATCATCTCTGTTCTTTAGATATAATCTTGTATAAACAGGGTTGAGAAAAACATGTTAACTTTGCTACAGGTAAATCCTTCAGGTCTTCGTATATACATTGGTAATTGAACTAGCTATGGGTTGATTCTTGCAATGTTCCTACAAAGGAAGAAAAAATGTGATGAAAAACATACAATTGCTGAAAAATTATACTTGCCAAGGAAAGGAAAGTTGCACCTCATTTTATGAACTTCTGGGGTATATGTTATTCAATGAAACATCTCTCTCAATATTTTATTTTGATCCTTTATTTATCACATGATGCACACTCTACAAAACATTTTCTTGGTAATTCATTCTGGCTTTTTCCATACTGAGAAACAGGCAGATCAGTAATAAATACATTCATTCAACTGCACATATACTGGAAACAGTATATATTTATATACACATTGTATCAGTAGAAATAAGGCTATGTTTATAATGAATTGCTATTTACACAAAATACATTGTCATAATTACAAAATATAAATTAATGGAACTCAAATTTACCCTTAAACTATGACTATTTCATTTTCAGTCACGGAATGTAATTAACAAACAAAATGCCACCTTGCTCCTTTTAAAATCATTGTTTATGGTTCCAGGCCATACAAAAAATAATGCTAAAAGACCTGGATAGGCCAATGAGTACAAATAGGTGTATGAAAAGTAAGAAAACAGTGATCTCATGATGTTGAATCAGAGTATTCTACATGAAAATGTTCCAACAAAATAAATATTTCTTTTTAAAGATACATTTACACATCTTGCATTTTCTAAGCAAATAAAATCTGAAATACAACTTTATTTATATACACAAGATTAGTTTGTATGAAATAGATCTACGTGTATCCTACATGTGTACATTGCACATACATTGTTCTTTCTATGTATGTACATTGTACCTAAGGCTCTGTAAATTGTACTGCCTTTTCCATAAACTTTTCAGGAGCTATGTTCCATATTTATGATACTGAAAAATATTGCATAATGCAAAGGCTCATATGTAAAATATTTCTTTAATAACATACTGATGATTCTAGGAATGTTTTCTTTTCAATCTGTACTACTTTAAATGCACATGCCTTGTCAAAAGCACACCATTCCTGTAGCGAACACTTTATTAATTCAATATATTCTTAAGGCCTTAAAAATATTAATTTCATACTAAATAAATGTGTAGGTATTTGACAGTGCCAGTCCAAGTAGAGCCAACCAAGTACATAAGGTCATGAAATAAACTTTGAAGATCCTAACATCAAGATTTTGAGGCTAGAACAATGATCTGACATCTCAAGTCATAAAATACCCATTTGGTAAGAGAACGGATGAGCCTTGGTGTTAGCAGCATTTAAATAGCCCTACTCTCTTTCATGCTAAAGCACATGAACACTGCCTCTAGAAACACTCTCACAAGTGGCAATTTCTACCACTGTTCATTGCGCACCAAGATGATTCAGTTTTAACACAGTAATCCTGTGTTAAAGTACAACCTGGGTGACCTAAAATATCTCTTGAATTTCTCTCTTTTATCTTTCCAAAAGTCACTTGTGTTTGGTGTAATTTCATAGCAAATTATTTTCATTTAGAAAGCTCTGACCTGCACTTGTTCATTCTGGTATATCCAATCTATTGCTTCAGAAGTATTGATGAATGAAATTAACAATAAACAAAGTAAATTCTAAGTTGTTACAAAGACACACTATCTCTCCATTTCTCACAATTCAAAAAATCTCTTTAATTTTTAAAAAATCAAATACTTTTCAATATATCAATAACATTAATGCTGGGAAAACTACCAACACCATGGTGTCTAGTACCACCACAGAGAAACTATGACACAAGCATCAAGAGATGAGTGACATAGGAAACACTTCCCACACAATGTCGTAATGAATCACATGCTTACTTCAAGACTAACTTGAAATGTAAGTAATATTCAACATCCATTACCAGATATTTGTGAATCCTAAAACTCCACCTTATACAAAATGACATTTTCTTTAAAATGGTCAAAGTCTACATATTTATTGCATTTCAACACTATTATTAGAATAGTTTAAAATCCAACTTGCTTTTAGCAATAAAACATAAAAGAAAAAAATGTTTATATCAACTCAAAAGGGAAATACCCCAATTTTTTTTTACGATTTCACTTGAAAAATCCACATTGAATCACTCATATCAAATCAATACAAAAGAAATGGCCCTGCAAGAGGCAAATTTTTAATGAAATAATAAGAGGCACAGCATATGAAGTATGCATAAGAATTCAATTTCATTATATCTCTTTCTAAATCAATACCTATTTCAGTACAAAGTACATAACATGTCAAATGCACTCAATGAACATTAGATTAACATTAAATTTAAAAAAATTCTCATAGTTTGAAGAGGACACTAAAATACCAGCGTAACCTGAGTGCCAAGAGGAAGAACATTCAAATGAGTAGGATTCTAGGAACTACAGAAATACAAATAAGTTTAATTCTAGAACTGTTTCTGAAATAAAACTAAACTAAACTAAACTAAACAAAACAAAAAAAATTAAAAAAATAAAATAAAATAAAATAAAATGATGCACTTTTTTCTGTTTGGACAATTGTAAAAAAACTTTAAAAAAACAAGTCAAAGATAATCTTGGTTTCGGAGTCATCAAATTTAAAGATGAGAATTTCTCTCTAACAGTTCATCAGAAAGGAAGCCAAACTATCAGCACCATTTGTAAATTACTTGTAATTCTTATTTAGAATTTAACAAATCGGTAGATTATGGTGGCCATTTTTATCACTAGCAATGTTCTATTTGAATATCCATCTGATCGAGCAGCTAAACATTTGCTGATAATAATATCAATCCAGTTCTCGAAACAGTGCTACAAACACTTTTTCAACTTTACTCTGCACAACGTAGTAAAGCATTTATAGTTAAACTGTCTTTTTATTAAACAGAAAAATTCTGAATTTACACATTCAACAATTCCAAAAGAAAGAATTTTATTTTTTTAAAGTCATAAAAGAAACAATAAATATAGAAAATAAAGCATTTGCTCTCTGGAAAAACTACAATTAATGGAATGATGTGTCAAATGTACAGTTTATGCATATTGAAAAGTACTACATAAATTCAACTTATTAACATAGTACTTCAAAAAAATTTTAATTAATATGTCTGATTGTATACACATATTTACATTATTTTCATTTGTCAAGGTAGTTTTTCTAATAATACAAAACAATTAAGTTCCATCCAAAACATCTCTTCAGATGTTCTCATATACTCAAAAATCAACAATTCAACTTGTAAGCCACAAGTCCTAATTATGTTTAGAATTTCTTCCTTCCATCATTTTTACAAATTATTCATTCATTCCTTCCTGGACATGATGGCAATGAGACAACTTTTTAAAAGTTCAAATCAGGTCGTTACAATAAAAAAAATGACTTGATTGCTGTATGACTTCATGTTACCAGTAATGTTTTTCCTCCTGGCTCAATTAAAACAGAGTGTGTAAATATGGCACATAATATACAAGAAATATCTTATTTATGAAAGTGGTAACAACAATCTATTGTCAGATATGAATTTGTAATTTTTTTTTTGTAACTGTTGTCACAATTCCTTGCAAAATAAATCTACTGGGTCCTTTATAATATAAAATATAATGCATTTATCTTGACTTCTTGAAAATACATATTTGGTATAATTTGGAAAATTATTTCATGTGCTTCATTATAGCAGGTTTTAAAAAATTCTCATTTTTGCAATAAAAATCTCTTATATGGGCATCTGCCATGGAGCAAGTCAAAGAGTTAACACAAAAGCTAGCAACTTGAATGTATACTGTCCAAAATGTATGTAAGTTTTTGAAACTTTCGATGAATAACTAAAAGAAGTGTCACAGTAAAATGTATAAAAATATGCAAATAAATCAAAATAATTACCAGAGTTGGGCAAAATTACAAATCTGCAATCCAAATAATGTTATCATTAGACTTAATGGTTTCAAGCAAATAATCTACATCTGGCCTGGTAAAAAAATAAAATTCACCAGTCAATTTATTTTCTCTAACATTGAAAGTTCCAAAACATCATTTGTTACAATGATGTTAAAAGCATGCTCTATAGATTAAAATACAACTTTAAAAATTACACCAAAAGTTACTTAATTAATATTATTTAACATGCTAGAATACTGTAATTCATATTACATTATCTCCCAGAATATTCTAAAATGTGACCAAACTGCATTACATACCTAATTTTATCCACTATATTTATTTAATAACAATGTCTGATCTCATATAATCAATAATATAACAACTTGCACCAACCACATCTGACTCCCTTGACGGCTCACTCAATAACTCATGTTATTTCTTGACTAGAAACAGGTAAGTTCAGATATGCCATTGGATATTCTCTTTGCATATTTGACATAAGTTTCAAATTACATTCTCATGAGAAATATATTCACAACACTCACACTAAATATTAACAATGCAATGAAAATTATTTTTAAACAAGAAGGATATACATAGAACCAATTTACAAACTGATGGGTCAATATTCTTTGGCTCTCATGAATAAGCTGATAACTTGTCAAAACTAAATATTATAGGGAAGCGACCTACTTTCCCATCTATGATTATTTACACCAATCTTTTAGTGTAAATTAATAGACAACTCAAATTATAAGTTAATACATGACTTCAAATCATTGTTACAGCTTGTATAATCACACAACACAACATGTCTTGTTAAGGTTTATAATTTTACGATATTTGTTTGTATATACATATGCAATTATCCATTATATTTATATACTGGACCTCAGTAATCAGAGCCAGAAGGAATTTATTTCATCTTATTCACAAACGAAGAGAATGATTGCGAAAATCCAGTAGTAAAATCATATTTTCATAAGTTGATTTATTGGCTTCATCACTCGAGTCAAAGATATATTGATATGAAAAGATTAGCATGTTTTATCCCACCAATTGCGTCATCAACACACATCACAACTATCATTTAAAACCTTTTACATTTATATGTAAACCATCAGGAAAACTAAACATGCAAAGCAACACAGCAAGTTGTAGCCAAATATACAAGGCACAGTGCAGAGCTGCTGCTGCCAAGATTTTCATACAATACCAAAAATGTCAATCATAAATGCAACCACTTGCAACTCCGTAGTTTCATTCTTTTTATGACCTGTCATATAGTACACATGTATGTACTATATCTACTAATAACTAGTGAAATTGCAATGAAACAATTAATTCATGTAATGAGGACTTAAATAAACTATTATATTATTCTTATTTTTCGTTAGAAATGACATCTTAACAAAATATCATACAGACTACATTAGGTACCTCATCATCATCAATGAACACATATTTTACTTCTTAAGTTTATCTTCTTTACAAAATGCGGTTCCAAGCACATCTGTTATATTAAGTTGTCATTACCAAGGAATTAATGTTAAACATTTTAAATTGTTATCTGAAGAGTATTTTTGCAGGAGAATGACCAGTTACTTAACAAGAAATCGCAAATTTAAAGAACATTGTAAAACTCATTAATACTGTCTTACTTTCAATTTTTATCTTCAGTTATTCGTTGTGTCATGTAAAATAAGGATTAATCATCAATTAAGTTACAAAAAAATATTGACATGAAGAATCCAGTGTCACTTCCCTCTGGTAAAACTGGCAACTCTTATTTATATTGTACAAATCAGACCTAGAATCAATGCCTAGAATACTATGATTTCTCAGTCTAGTTTTGGAGAATAACATAAATATATTATTTATATATAAATATATTACACTTACATTATTTCAAAAGTTCATTTTAATGAAGATAAGCCACGTGGCAAGATCATGGGGAGGGAATGATTCACAAGCATTTCTTTTTCTTTTTTTTCCCTTTCTTTCTTTTTTTTTACTATTAGACTAATGGATTTATCATTATGTATTATTGAGAGGCAAAATATGCATTGAGATAATGGCTTTGGAAGATAAAACGTTTCTATATTAACTGACTGATATGAAGGAGAGCATTCTGGATAAAAGGAGGAATATTAAGGTATTTCCAGTCATTCTATAACCCTTATTTCATATTCTATATAAATATTTCAGCACCTAATTGCAGTGAAAATAACTCAAAGCATTAATGTAGTCTTGCAAGACACCTACAAGAGACCAATCTTTTTCACAAACACTACTGATTTCATTGTTTGTAATTTGGGCTACAAACTAGAGTGATGTGAATTCAGGGGTAAAAATTGAGTCTCCATGGATGCAGGACAAACCACGTGAGTCTTATAACACTCACATTGTCTTCAGATTGCTTAAAAAACAGAATACAAACAGTGAGATTACTCTAATATTCTATTTCATACAATATTTTTGACTTTTAGACCTCAAGTAGAATTAAAAATGTACTGCAGACAATGCAAATTGGAACTAATTAAATTACATGATTGTATCTATTGATCAAGAAATTTAAAACATAACATGTCAAATTCTTGATAGCAAGTTATCTTTAAAAAGGGTTGATTCATATGTAAAAAATGTTATTTTTACAATTCCCTTTTAAATAATGTTATAAGAAATACACAGGATTTAACATATTTTACTGAACACATTTTTTGCACAAACTTCAATACTATCTGAGCCTAATTAAACACAAAATGCCACTGGATTCAACAGACACAAATTAAAGAGGATATATTTACAATAACTGAGCATTCCCAGATAAATGTTCATCAGCCAATCAAACATCTCCTCATTGCATAAATACAATATTAAAAATTAATTTGTAGCTCTGTCATGTGCAAAGATTATAAGTTGACTGAATTTATTCATTTTGTCATGTTTTTTAGTTTCTTGCAACTATAATATGCTTACAAGGTGTAAAGAAATACAAAATATATACACATTTACAAGTTTTTTGAAAGAAAAATGTGCTTATTAATAAACAGGTTATAATATATTAATATCATGCCTTGTCCACATCCATATCCCTCTACAATAGCAATATTGCAAATTTTTTAATATTACAATTACTTATGCTGAATAAGAATACAAATTTCAAGGCAATGAACTTTCTCCAAAAATTCTGTACTTAAGCAAAATTTCTGCACACAGGGTGAAGCATTGAGTAAAGTAGTACTTGAAAATGTCAACAAGAGGCTATAAGAATAAGACACTACGTGAATACACAAAGGTAATGATATTTCATATACACTGATAAACCATGTTATTACATATGCACAACACCTACATACAATCAATAAAGGTGAGATGATAATAGAGGTTGAGAGAGAGAGAGAGATGAAGAGCTCACACTGAATTTTAGATATTTAAAAATATATTTTCTGAAACAAATCATCAAAATGCTCCAGAATGAAGGTTTACACATATTGATAGTTTTCCTTTGATGATAGCAAAGGAACTTGTTCCACTGGTTGCTTGACATCATATCGTGTCATCCAATCCGTGTCGTCTGGCTTCAGTAATCCAAAGCAACGAATCTGAGCAAAATCTATTAGATTTTGGCAGCAGCCTCGATGGAAAGGACTTCGCATTTCTGCAGTACCCATCCGCCCCGTTGTATGAAAATGTTTGTAACGACCACTATTCATTCTTTCATTCGTCGTCATACCAAGGCATGTAATCTGGAAATACAAAATACTTCGCTAACAAAAGAATAAATCAAATGAGACCAAAATCCAAAACGAAAGGGTTGGATGGAAATAACAGAACACATATATTATGTTAGATATTTTTTCAATGTAACCATTGTCAATTCATCACACAAGTCAAATATTAAACACAAGTTCATAAAGAGATTGTATATTTAAAGTTCAAAACACGCATCATTTTCTACCAGTCTATTTTACCAGCATAGTAAAATATTAAACAATAAAATCTTCCAATACCTGATACATCTGGCAACAAAACAAAGTAGCAACCCATACTGAATGCAGAACACCATTGGCAGCCACCCAGGCAACCCATGCGTCACATTTTGCAATGGTGACTATGTCTGTCAAACACAAAATTTAGTTACACATACTGCCTTTCATATTATTCACACACTTGTAATACATATTTCTCTGAATATTTTAATGAACAATGTCATGCAAGTTCATTTCTACTAAGTATCTACTAAAATGTGTGGAAAAAAACTAACCTTCCCAAAATCCAGTTGGGAGATCACACATGATATGCCAAAATTTTGAGCATCCATATACCACAAACACACACATCACCAATAGCATAATAAGATAACCAATAAAAAAACGATGATTTCTTGCCCCTGCAAATTAAAATGAAATAACACAGGCATAACAAATAGGACACCAATATGAAAATCCATTTAGTAGATCATCTATATTTATATTTCTCCTACAAACAACATGCAGTTTCTAAGAAACTGCAGAATTTAGCTACACGTCACCAGAACAAATCCAAAAGATATTACACTATATTCTACTGTCAACTAAGGAGAAGATGGAAACCTTACAGGCTATAGAGAAAGTGTTCATATCAGAGAACTCAATGAAAACACAGAAGAGGAAAAAGTTATTAACTACCTAGAAAACAATGGTGCAACAAGAAAAATTGAATGTGAGCAACTGGAGATAAAAGGATGAAACAAATCTTTCCAAATGGGCATTCCCGTGGGCGAACTTGACAAAATAAAAACCATGGACTTCTGGTCTCAATGGGTAGTAGTCAGGAGGTTTCATTTTTGCTAGCAAAGACACGTTGAATTGTAAAAGAAAGAAACTCCAAACACAATATGCGACTGTGGCAAGGAACTCTGACAAGCTTCTAGTGAAAGTGGAGGGATGAAAAGCACAAAAAATCAAAGTTGTGAACAGGAGTGTAAAGAGATTGAAAAACGTTCTGAAACTGGAAGTAAATAAGATATTTCATAATATATCAATAGCAAATTTATCTGAAATGTTTATAACTAAAGAAAACCCCACAAATGTACCAGTGTATTACAACATACACAAATATGCTGTAAATCCACAAACAGGAAGGCCAATAGAAGGAATAATGTGCTTACTATATCCAAAATTTGCACTGTTCACCATCATTTACAGAAAATTTAATAACCATCAAAGCTAAGGGAATCAACATTTATGTACATACTTGAATTCTGAATTCGCATCAATAGACATAACAGACAGTTTATTCGAAGCACCAAATAAAATAAACAAGAAAGAAAATATAGTGATATCTGGAGACCTAAATTGCAGAGTCAATGTAGACAACCCAAAGACCAGTACTGTAGTGCAATACTGAATGCAAGGACTGACACCAATAAACAACGGACAAATGAAAACACGTGTAGCCCACAATGGAGTAAGTGCTCCATTGTATCTTTGTGCGAGGGTTTGAAACCACAAAACAACAGCAAGTCTGGGAGCCAGCTACAACACTGTTAAGAAAGCACATACGAATACTGACAATACTACAGTTGAAGGAATCCACAACGCAAAAACCAAGAAAAACTGGACCAAGAAAAACTGATAAGACAGACTACTGGCAATCAAGTAAAAATAGGAAAACATGACATTTCTAAGGGTGCAAATTTACAAGAACACAGATCAAGAAAGTGGATTAACTGCAAAGGTAGATCACTTTCTAGCAGAAAAGCAATTTGGATTTAGGCATAAAAAATCAACACACATGGCAGTAGAAAACCTAATTAATAGCATAAATGACAGTGTAAATGACAACAAGAAATTATACGCAGTATTTATTGATTTATGCAAAGCCTTTAATATGTAAATGACAAATCATTGAGAGCAAGTTTATTAACGTTGCAGGGCGAGATTGGCTATCGAGGATAACAATCAATATCCTAACAGAAAATACATCCAAATTGACGATAATATAACAACATCAGAGAAAATTGAACAAAGTATAGGAGTACTGCAAGGAGATCCTCAAAGTGCGCTATTATTTAACATACTAGTGTATGATGTAACTGCAGCTGTAAAAAAATAAACAGAAGTGGAAAGACTAATCTACGTTGATGATGTAGTAATCTCAACAGAGTGCAAAAAATTTCAAAAGGGAATTGACATTCTAAGTAAATGGCAACTACAAATGAGCTACAAATAAATGCAAATAAAACAGGTATGACAATATTTCAGAGAAGCGGAAGAACAACAAGAAACTACATAAAAATGTGCAATGGGCTAAGCTATAAGCAGCAAGCTCACCCAAATACCTAGGAATTACTCTGCAAAATACAGGAACACTTATGATACATCTAAAGGAAAGAGTAATTGCAGCAACAAGAAGTATAAACGTCACACCATATCCTAGTCAGTTGTCTATGGAAACACCCATGAAATTGTTTACCCACAAAGTTCTCCCTGTAGCGACATACCGTTTAGAAATTATATGGAACTACCTCACAGTCAAGCAGTTAGAAAAGCAACTTTCAAACAAAAAGCTACAGGATTTTCCAAGTATGCGCAGTCAAGACTAGCATATGTAATGGTAAAAGAAACTTTTCTACTGGAAGATGCACGACTTCAATTGCAGCTGCCCAACACAAACACGCTAAAAGTAAAGATGAACAAATGAAAAAAAGAGACAGAAAGAAATATGGCCATATTTCTACTGTACTGATGCAATGATAAATTGAGAAAAGACAGAGGCAGGGTGCAACAAAGGCATGCGATTTCATGCCTGGTAGTGAACAGGTTTCACCAATATGTCCGACAAAGAGTTTTCACGAACCAAATGACAAATATATATGCAGTGAATGTGAAAGAGAGTATGAGCGTTATCACATAATAAATTGCACCAAACAATATGTGCACATAATAAATTGTACGATATGAGAGAATTTCCAACATTAATTCTTCAACTCTTTACTATCGCAGAGCACCTTTCTGTCATTTTTAATAAAAGCAATAGCAAAACCACTGTTCAAAAAAGGGGATATGCATGAGGTTTTGAATTATTGACCCATCTCATCTGGTCTCACATCACATTATGTCTGTTTAAATATTGTGGGTTAAAAAAAGTTATAAGACTTAACTGAAAGTTATACTATTTCAGTCCCAAATATTTAAAAATAATAAAATACATACCAATACAATTACCAACCCAAGGGCAGTGATGGTCGAAACGAGCTATACATCGATTGCATATTGAGCAATGTTTAGATCTTACTGGCCTTCGAACTAAGCATGTACTGCAGAAGCCCTGAGGTTCAAAACCTCCCCGCTCTGCAAGTTCGATAATTGTCTAGAAGTACAAAATAAAGATGAATACATATGTTAACTTTCCTATATTCCATTATCTCCAGTTCATTAAAATAATGATTAAAATACAAAATGAAGTTGCAATTTTAACTGCAATATTTTTCTCACCCTATATTTCTGTTCTTGGTTACTACTGAGAACTCCAGGATCTCCTCTCCAAGCTCGCACAAAATTATACCAAAGTATCAATGAGCAGCCAATGAACAAAGCAGAGAGCCACAAGTCAACACTTGGAGCAATCCATACAAACCATGTGACATACATCCAGAACTTCAAAAAAGAAAGACCATTTTATAATAAATGTAATTGAAATATTTAATAACTTTACACTTAATTTTATTACTTTACATTCAATTCTTAAAAAGAGTGATTGCCAAAATTATCAATAAAATGATATAAAAGTTTACCTTAGTAGCTAAGTATATAGACATTGGTAATAAGTTCATTAGGCGATCATCAAATAACACTTGTCCAGCAAAGTGTAGTACAATGTAACAACCAACTAACATCCCCAACTTAACTAAATACTGTTGATTTGATTGCAGAATTATTCCAACAATATAAAATGCAAGAAATGGGGTAGTCACCATACACCAAAATTTTAAGCGCTGTAAATAACATTTAAGTTTAGTTAATAATGCCCTTCAATAAAAGACCTTGAAGTACAATTAATATTTTTCGCAATACCTTGTCTTTGGTAAACCGATGACATAGATTACGCCTTTTTGAGTTTGAATGTTCCTGCAGCTTTTCTAATACTTTTTTTCCAACCCACGATGAATTTTTGTGTGTCAAAAGCATACTGCATGGTGTTTCACCCTACATAACAGAAGGTTAAGTAAGTCATAATACAATATTGTACTACTTCAATCATCTACAGACAAGCTACAGATATTTGAGAAAATTATTAGCCCCTCTTCTTCTTCGCACAATCTTTAACACAATGTCCACATGGGCAAGAGGTGACGCTATGTTTGAAATAGAGGCAAATAAATAGATTATAGAAACCAGAGCGAACTTTGATGAGCTAGTACATAGAACTCAAAAGGTCTGGTACGAAATTGTAATGATGTGTCAAACATCTGAGTAAACAGCAGGGCAAGAGCCAAAACACACTGACTAAACTCCAAATGTTAACTTTGATGTAGTTTCATTTTTACATTTATGATTTTTTTTACTGATAAACCTGCAATGGTTGTACGGAACTACAGGGCTCTGTGAAAGAAAGATTATCAAGTTTTGGCCCATGCTTCAAATCTATTATAAATGTATATAATTTTTCAAAAAAGTTTACAATGTAAAATACACAAACAATAAAATCTATAATATATCAAAGCAACTTGAACATCATACCTGCATGTTTGCAATATCAAGACTTGCTCCATGACTAATGAGTGTTGATATTGAGGTATGATTCTGTGCTAATATAGCCCAATGAAGAGCAGTATTTCCATGAAGTTTATCTTGTATTGATGTACAGGCACCAAAAGTCAGCAATAAACGAGTAGGATCCAAACTGAAAATTTAAATAATAATAATAATAATAATAATAATAATAATAATAATAATAACAATAATAATAATAATATCACCATCATCATCACATGATATGCCAAAGCATCGTAAGTCTAGTCTTCTCAGTATTGCTTATTGACTATAAGAAGGCATGTCTCTCTCTCTCTCACACTCTCGTTCGGTGTCTCTCTCTCACACTCTCGTTCGGTGTCTCTCTCTCACACTCTCGTTCGGTGTCTCTCTCTCTCACACTCTTGTTCGGTGTCTCTCTCTCTCACACTCTCGTTCGGTGTCTCTCTCTCTCACACTCTCGTTCGGTGTCTCTCACACTCTCGTTCCTCTCTTTCTTTCCCTCTCGTTCCTTCTCTTTCTTTCCCTCTCCTCTATTTCTCTCTCTTGTTCGTTCTCTCTCGATTTCTTTCCTTATATCCTGTCCCGATATGCTAAAAAGGAGGCAATGCACCAAGGATCCTTCTAAGTATTGTAGGAAATATTTGTTATACAAACAATGAAAAATGAAAATTTGTGAATTGGTGTGTATTAGGAGAACCTATATTTAGTGTAACCATGTGAACATACCCAACCCTAAACCATTAACACCAAAGCCTGCCAGCCGGCCATCAGAACTGCGGTGCACTGTTGTTTGCAAATGATGCTAATGATCTTCCAAATCTATGACAGTGCACATACAAAAACGCACATACGTAATGGTGGCATACAGGCATGACGAAATTGGGGAACTACAAAAAACACATTCTATGGAAATTTATGCTTCTGTGGCCCAAATGATAAAAAGGGATTATGAGGAACACACTGGTATATTGTTTTCCGCAAGAAATGACTCATCCAATATTCATAGAATGTGAATATTACACAGGCACAAAGAGGCTCAAAAAAGTATTTTGGAATGCAATAACACATGCTAATAATACTACCACAAGCCTCACACTAGACTGAAGTCAACTTATGTAAAAACATTCTTTTTCGCATAATTGACACTTTTATAAAACTTTAAACTTAACAATGCATTCAAATTTGGCTACACCCAAACATAAGTACACCAATTTTCAAGTTAAAATTGTGGAAAAGAAGAAATGTGTAAATAACAGTTCTTCAAGCATGTAAAAATTCTATGAAATTCAAAATTAAGATCTCAACACTTTCACTAAGTGTTTTTGCAATTCAAATTAATTTTTTTTAGCTCTCAGCTTGTTTTAATTTTTATCAAATAAATCAATTTAAAAAAACCAATGCTGCAATAATGAGCATCTTCAAACCAATAAATACTTTTAACAGACAGACAAAATACCTCTGGAATAAAATTTACTTTTTGCAAACTGGCTAAAATATGTTTTTTGTTGTTTTTTTGTTTTTTACCAAGGATTCATTAAAGGAAAAAAATAATTTTTGAAGAGTGAACTGCACTAAAAAAATTAGAAGCTTTTCCTAACTTTAAAGAAACCTGTTCATAATAACATAACATTCTACATTATATCTCAAAACTTGATTAAGTAATCAATCAAGCACCTCCAAACTTCTTTTAGTAATGTTCTTGTTTTTTACTTTTTAAATACTAATAAAAAAGTCCTTGGGTAGTACATTTCAAGAATCCAGTTTTTTTTTCCTTCAAAATTGTATGTTCATTCACCTAGGTGTTTGCCTGGTTGTTTTTTTGTGAAAAATACCAAATTTCATTTAACGAAACTACAACTAGGGCATTCAATCTTTCAAACTTCAGAATTTTTTAAAAGAATCTCGTAACATCACTGCTCATAATTCATATGAATATCTACTATTTAATCTTCACATGTCCTTGGCAATGGGATCTACATAAACTGATACAGAAACATGTTACATTTTAATTTAAATCTAGCCATGTCATTTTAATGATAATCAAAACCTGTTATAAATATTGTACTATAGAGAAAGATTTGGTATTTAAATTTCCAAGCGGAGAAAGATTTAATAAACTTAACGAAAGAACAGATGCCCCAAATTCCTTTCCGACTATTGTTCTCAGAATAAATTTGTACTATTAGTACACAAACTGGATTTTTTAAGTAATTTTACTCTCTTTTATAGGCACAGTATAAAGAAAGTTGTGTAATGATAAAAACAACACAAAAATAAATTTGGGATCTCAATAGAAATACGTTTTGGGGATCTCAGATATCTATAATTTGCACCCCATCCACATCACAAATATTTATAACAAATGAATAATTTGGCAAGTAGAAAATGTACATCAATTTACCTTGTAACTTTATATGCACTGCACATTAGAGGGGTCATACCATTTCTATCTTGCATGTTCACATTGACACCTTTTGCCACAAAATAAGCAACAATGGCAGTGTGACCAAATTGTGCGGCATGATGGATGCAAGAACAGCCTTCTGCATCTCGTATTGATGGATCTGCACCATACTGCATTAGCAGTGTCACACTTCCCAGATGTCCTTGCCTAAACACATTTAGAAATCAGTCAAATCAGTTCACTCAAAACTTCTCCTACAAACACACTTCTCTAATGACATCCTTCCCACTACTGAATATACAAACAACAATAAAATTTTAAAATCTTAGCAGCTTTTAGTGGAAGTGGAAACTTTTTAATTTGAAGGATTGCAAACACAAACGATGAAAACCTTTATTTACAAGTTAGTTTAGTTACTATTTTCTCAATAAGCCCAACCAATAGGTAAGTAAATTCAAGTAAACTAATCAAATTATTTTTAAGTTATTACAGCCCCCTAGGTAAGAGGTTTACAAAACTGCCCCAGATTCAAAAACGTCTATTTTTTTCTAACCTATTTGGGATATGACAGTTGTGAAAAAGCATATAATATTTTCCCACCAGATATCTACCATCACCACACTCACAATTAAAAATTGTATTTTTAGATTGTCTTTTTTTAAGTAATGAGAAAATATGAAGAAAATTGTTAAAGGTTCACAACAAAGAATACCTGTCATAACTCTTTCTAGATATCTAAAAACATGTGATTCGTTAGATAATGCAATTTTTCTTCCACACCTAGATTCATAGTATGAAGAATGTAATCAATATACTATAGTCCAGTTTCACACACAATTTTATAATATAATCGAATAATTTTTTTATAATATAATGGGTACATTCGCCATACAATAAAACAACAGATGGTAAAAAAAGACATTTTCAAAATCTAGATGCATATAGCATTTGGCCTAACATACTCTAGAATCAAATAAAATTTCACTAATTATAAACAGATAGTAGAAAAACTTCCTGTAGTAGTAAAATATTAATGCTTTGGAACCTACTGAAGAACAGTGTTTTTAGGGTTGGTTCCTTGTTATCCCTAATAAGCTGCAAGTTATAGATAATCATTAAATGATTTTCTTTGCAGATGACAATGCATAAACACACACATTAAAAAAGAAAGAAAAGACTGACAGGAGCATCTGTAACAATATAACAACATAGCAATTGGTTCTCATTTATCAAACTAGTAGCACAGAGAAAGAAGTTACTCACTATTTCACAAACACCAAAACAAACTTTTATATACAACAAAATAAAATTAGTAGTAGTGGTGGTGGTGGTGGTGGTAGTAGTAGTACTAGTAGTAGTACTAGTACTAGTAGTAGTACTAGTACTAGTAGTAGTACTAGAAGTAGTACTAGTACTAGTAGTAGTACTAGAAGTAGTACTAGCAGTAGTACTAGTAGCGGTGGTAGTAGTGGCAGTAGCGGAGGTAGCGGCAGTAGCAGGAGTAAGAGGAGGGCGAGGACGAGGAGGGCAAGAGCGACGAGGGCGAGGGCGAGGGCGAGGGCGAGGGCGAGGGCGAGGGCGAGGGCGAGGGCGAGGGCGAGG